TTAGAAACAATCTCTCACCACTGCCTTATCTGAGCAGCTGCATTTCCCTGGCCCAGTTTTAGTGTTGCAGAGCTGGGCAACAAAAGCAATGGTACTGCACCTGCTTCCAGGCTTTCCGGAGTGTTGGTAGTGCCCATCACTCAAGCCAAGAGCAGTGGGGCAATCAAAACAGACACAGATCTTGGCTTGCTCAGCGCCTACCCTCTCTGGTGCCACTGTTCTGCCAGATCAATGGCCGGTCCGGTTTGCTTCAAAAGCATGGTCTGGACGTAGAGAACATGGCAGGAGAGGCAGAAACAAATCTCATCAGATTGAATGAGCATCACTAAATTTCTGTGGGAGGAAAAGTGTAACCTGCTTGTTAGAGAGAACCACGTGATGGATGGACTGTTTAATGCAAATATCTATCCCCTTAGTTTGCTTCCTATATTCCCATGTCATTTCCTTTTTTCAGCACCAGTTACTGCTAGATAGCCTGTTTGTCATACCAAAGAGAGATAAAAGGCTTTTATGTTGCTTATATATCCTTCTAGACATTTTCCACCTTTGTGATTTAAGATTTGACCACCATTTGTTTTGGGATGAGTCTCCCCAAACCATAATTTCAGTTTAGCATTCTATAACACTGGTGCTAAAAGTCCCCCAAAATATCTGTATAACCTCCAAATTTTAAAGGTGAGAAAACTGAAGCTCTGAAATAGTAAGCGGCCTTTCAAGATTATTTTAAAATTATTTTAAAAGGGGGCTAGTAAAACCAGATTGGAAGCTGCCTCTTCACTTCCAATCTAGGACTACCTCTTCCCCCTACATATTATTTGTAACACTTTCCACAATATCTCACTCTTCTGGTTTATATTTCTGTTGCTAATTCAGCATTTTAAGTGGTCATTAATTCTCATGTGTTTTTCTAGTAGTTTCCTGGATATTATCTCACATGCATTCTAAGGTAAACCTTGCATATTACATCTTTAAATTATTAAAAGGAGCTTTATTTTGTGGCTACTCTAACTCAAAAGCCTATGCTGATTTCTTATTGAGTCAGATGAGATTAAAAGTGGATTCTACCTATCTCCAGAAGACTGCTATGTTCTCTTATGCCCCAACTCCAAACCGACAGTACTCTTTTCTTGAAATACCATCTATGTTTTCTATCTATTGTTTTATTTGGAGTGGAAACCCTATGTCTCTGCCTACCAATATTTTCCCTAACCTTCAAGTTTCAGATCAGCTTCTTCTCTGAGGCCACTTCTTAGACCCCAAACTAACCTGACCTCTTCTTTCTGTGTTCCTCCATGACATGCAGTTTTCTCTTCCATATAGTACCCAAGTCCATAGTGTAATTACTAGTGTACATACTTGTATTTTTTCCCTTTCAGTAGATTTTAAATTTTCCCATGCCTAAGATTCTGTTCTATACCTAGTATAGTGTGTTCAATACGGAGTATATTCAATGATAGTAACTTAATGCCACACTATTTGAGCAAGATGTGACAATAATATTGTCTTCTGAGAAAGTTGATTTTGACTTTGATATATTTCAATATATATTTGCAAAATATATCTATTATAAATTGTATATAATCTGTATTGCAATCTCAAAGGGAATTTTTACTTAGTATGATGGAATTAAAAATCACAAACCAAGAGATTCTCTCTCTGTTTCTTTCTCCACCTGTCTCTTTTTTTCCTCTCTTTCTGTGTGTGTGTGTGTGATCTTTTGCAAACTTATTATTTCTAAAAATTCTATAAATTGTGGTGAAACACATAACAGAAAATTTATCATTTTACCCATTAAGTGTCAATTCAGTGATATTAAATACATTTATATTATCATGCAATCATCATAATCATCCTTCCCAGAACTCTTTCATCTTGCAAAACTGTAACTTTGTTCACATTAAGCAATAACCTTCTGACTCCTCCAAGTACCTGATAACTGTCATTCTAATTTCTGTCCTTATGACTTTTATGATGGTAGATAACCTCATATATGTGGAATCTTACATGTATATGGAATATTATAGTATGGTATCTTATTTCACTTAAGTTTATTTTACTTACATCCTCAGGACTCATCCACACTACAGCATGTATTAATATTTTTAAAAATTAAAAAAAATCTACATACATATATTATGGGTGCTTAAAACTTAAAAATGTTTGTGGAAATGAAATAGAAAGATATGTTTATTTTGTTAACAATACTTTCTCTATGTATTGTATGTATTTTCCATGAAGTCTTTGAGACCCCTTGAATGTACCACTTTCTGCTTATCTACTCATCCATAGATGGACACTTGTATTGCTTCCACTTTTGGCCATTGTGAATAATGTTCCAAAGAATGTGTGTGTAAAAATGTCTCTTTAAGACCATGCTTTTAATTCTTTTCCCCAGAAGTTGGTCTAGATCATGTGATAATTTCATTTTTTTAAAACTTTTATTTAATGAATATAAATTTCCAAAGTACAGAATATGGATTACAATGGCTTCCCCCCCATAACGTCCCTCCAACCTGCAACCCTCCCCTTATCCACTCCCTCTCCCCTTCCATTCACATCAAGATTCATTTTCGTTTCTCTTCATATACAGAAGATCAGTTTAGCATACATTAAGTAAAGATTTCAACAGTTTGCTCCCACACAGAAACAAAAAGTGAAAAATACTGCTTGAGTACTAGTTATAACATTAAATCTCAATGTACAGCACACTAAGGACAAAGATCCTACATGAGGAGTAAGTGCACAGTGACTCCTGTTGTTGACTTAACAAATTGACACTCTTGTTTATGGCCTCAGTAATCACCCTAGGCTCTTGTCATGAGCTGCCAAGGCTATGGAAGCCCCCTGAGTTCACTGACTCTGATAATTTTTAGACAAGGCCATGGTCAAAGTGGAAATTCTTTCCTCCCTTCAGAGAAAGGTACCTCCTTCTTTGATGACCCGTTCTTTCCACTGGGATCTCACTCACGGAGATCTTTCATTTAGTTTTTTTTTTTTTTTTTTTTTTTTTTTCCAGAGTGTCTTGGCTTTCCATGCCTGAAATACTCTCATGGGCATTTCAGCCAGATCCACATTCCACATGCCTTAAGGGCTGATTCTGAGGCCAGAGTGCTCTTTAGGACATCTGCCATTCTATGAGTCTGCTGGGTATCTCACTTCCCATGTTGGATCACTCTCTCCCTTTTTGATTCTATCAGCTAGTATTTGCAGACACTAGTCTTGTTTATGTGATCCCTTTGGTTCTTAGTCCTATCATTATGATCAGTTGTGAACAGAAATTGATCACTGGGACTAGTGAGATGGCATTGGTACATTCCACCTCGATGGGATTGAATTCGAATCCCCTGGTATGTTTCTAACTCTACTGTTTGAGGTAAGTCAGCTTGAGCATGTCCCGAATTGCACATCTCTTCCCTCTCTTATTCCCACCCTTATATTTAACAGTTAACTGTTATATTTAACACTCTTATATATTATTCCCACTCTTATATTTAACACTTAACTGAAAAGTGATCACTGTTAGATAATTTCATTTTTAAAATGTTAAGGAACTACCTTAGTGTTTTCTACCATTTTGTATTCAAAAGTTGGATTCTTTTTTAAAACCTTCCAAAGTCTAATATGCAGCACAATACCTGAAGTTAGAAATAATAGAAACTATAGCATTTCTGTCCAACCTGCTTTGGCAAGATGAATCACAGCTTGTATTCAAACACAATTTAATGTGAAGAATATGACACACAGTCCTGTGCTTCCTGAACCTGACTATGCATCAGAATCCTCACACCAGACATCTGGAGCTAGAACTTCTGAGAACTAGACATTACATAGAGATCTTTTAGTGGTTACAATGCCCGGTTATATATGAGGAGTCCTATCATGGACTATGAGTATGTGCATAAATTTGTTTACACGATAATAATAATATTGTAGATAACACTGATTTAAAAATAACCAGTTGTCTAAATAACTTCATATTCATGGACATACTTTGAGAGAAGATCTGTGAACCCTCTAGTAACTCAAGAATGGTATAGCAGAGTAGACAATTATGGGACAAGATCCAACAAAGAAGAAGTGAATAGGGTGATAGATAGATATTCACAAAATCAAGGGCTGTAGAACTGATTGGCCTTTTATGTGGTGCTCAGGGAGGATTATAAAAGTACAACAGAGAATCCGAGAATAGGATGAGTTTGGAAATCATGTAGTTAAGAAGGCTGTTGAAGGCAGCTGACATGAGGACATATCACCACTAAACAAAAAAAAGCAAGGAAAACATAGCTTCTAGTGATAAAGATCCTACTTTTAGAGAGAATGAGGAACTTGGCACAATGGACAAACCAAGGCATGAAAGAAGAACTAGGGCAACAACAGAGCTGACATTCCTCCTGTCATTTCTTCATTTTGTGGTGGACCCCCTCGGTATTTGGCAAAATGGGGCCATAATATGCTCCTGAAATCCTCCAACCCCTTTTGCATAAGATCATCAAGATCAAAAATCCCATTACAGAATAGTATTACTAACAAGAAATAAATTTGTTGATTCGTTTACTTTAAGTAGTACCAATGTGTGTTTAAGTACTGTTAGTGTATATGTTTTACAAACAGCCCAAGTCTGTGAATAAAAGGTGGATACTTTTTTCAGTAGGTCTTTCAACAGTTAAAAAGGGCTTTTCAGTTGAATGGCATGGTTTTGAATGCTAGTCCTGTTGCCTGTTTCTTCTTAATTTAGTGAACAGATACTCAGCCAGTGCCTTTTCCTCCCTCATGTTCTTTCTTCCTCCTCTCTTTTATGCTCTGCTTTATGGAATTCATCACTTGTTAAATTAATGTGTGATCAGGAATTCGAAAAATAGCTAAACGAAAACTAGTCACCTTTCCAATATTTTTAGCAACGTTGATAAGACTTACTAGAGAATGAAATTGGAACTGTGAACTAAAATTTAGCTTTGGAAGTATTTGAAATTGTAATCATTCTTGTCATTCCTATACCCCAGGTGCTCACCATGAGTGTGGAGAAAGTTTCATGCAAGAAAAGAGTCCAGTTCCGAATGATTTCTGCCAATCTGAATAAACATAAGTTGTATTTATTTATTGAACATTATTGGTTAGTAATCTTAATTTAAAATGTTTTCCATGATTTTATCATGTATGCATTTGTTAATTAGGCTGGCAATGTTATAAAAACAAATTTGAGTTTCAATTAAGTTTTGTAAATATATTTTCACCACCAAAAACAGTTTTTTAGCTAATATATACACAGAGCATTCTTTGAATAATCATCATTATTCAAATTAAGCAAGTGTTTGAGTGTCCCTCGACACTCTGTTAATACATTGCTGCCAACTGTACTATACTGTTGACTTATTTACCTGTGAGTAAGTAATTACCTTCATTTTTTAAAGAGTTCATTTATTTATTTGAGAGACAGAGTTACAGAGAGAGAGAGGGAGAGACAAAGAGAAAGGTCTGTCATCTGCTAGCTCACTCTCCAAATGGCCACAATGGCTGGAGTTGGGCCAATCCAAAGCAAGGAACCAGATGCTTCTTCCAGGTCTCCCATGTGGGTGCAAGGGCCCAAGAACTAGAGCCATCTTCCACTACTTTCCCAGGCCAAAAGCAGAGAGCTGGATTGGAAGAGAAGCCAGGACATGGACTGGCACCCATATGGGATGCCAGCGCCACCAGCAGAGACCTAACCTACAACACTGCAGTGCTGGCCCTAAGTAACTTCCTTTGGTGTATATATTACACTTTCAAACTTCTTTTTCTTCTTGATTTGTTTTATCTTATGACAATTTTGTTGTTACATTATATTTAGGGTCATCACACTGAGAGTTTCTGTGGAAGACATTCAATGCATTGAAAATAGAGAGGGGCCGGCGCCGTGGCACACTAGGTTAATCCTCCACCTGCGGCACCAGGTTCTAGTCTTGGTTGCTCCTCTTCTAGTCCAGCTCTCTGCTGTGGCCCAGGAAAGCAGTGGAGGATGGCCTGAGTGCTTGGGCCCCTGCACCTGCATGAGAGACCAGGAAGAGGCAGTGGCTCCTGGCTTCGGATAGGCGTGGCTCCGGCAGTTGGTGCCATTTGGGGGTGAACCATCGGACGGAAGACGTTTCTGTCTCTCTCTCTCACTGTCTGTAACTCTACCTGTCAAATAAAAAAATAAAAATCTTTAATAAAAAAAGAAAATAGAGGATGGTTTGGGATTTATGCTGCTATCTCTTTGTTACCTTTTGTAAAAACTTAATATGAAAATTCAACACAAATGTTTTATATGGTAAAATGCTATAGAGTGATATGGTTGGTACATCTTTCTCTTCATGGTCTATTCTTTTCCAAATTTATCCTACGCATGCCCATCCCATAGGATGTTCCGTAGAAAAAGTTTCTGAGAAAAAAAAAATGAGTTTGGAAAATGTTGCACTGCATTCTCACTTTGGAAGATATCCAAAGCCTGTTCATATATTATTGACTAAATTTTCTGTAAAGAAATATGTATTACTTTATTCAAGTGTTTTCCAACATTACTAAACAGAGAAACTTTTCCTCCAATCATAAAAACAGCATTCCAAAAACAAAAAAATAATTTGAGAAATACAGATTCATAGTTTTTTGCTTGTATTAGTCCGTTTTATGTTACTTTCACTAAAATATCTGAAAGGACCAACTTAGGAGGGAAGGAAGTTTCTTTTGGGTTACATCTTGGAATTCAACATCAGGTGACTCCATTAATCTGGCATCTGGTGAAACATGTGTGGAGGAATAATCACATAATGAGTTAAGAAGTATAGACACACAGGAAGCACATGGTTCTACTCTCTGTGTGGTCTCTCCTTAATAGTGCCATGATGATTTAATCATTGACCTCCACCCTAGCAACCCAGTCCAATCCTATCATTTCCCACAGGCTCCGCCTTCAAGAATCATAAAAAAATCAGACCTCCACCCAAACCCATCAATAATTAATCCATTAAACATTAACATAAGACTTTGAAGTTTAACTGTCTGAATAATATGGAGGAGACAAATCCTGTGCAAACCATACTGCTTCAAAAACTAAGATCCAAATGAGAGAAGGATGCCCACTCTCATTATTGCTATTCAATAAAGTTCCAGAAATTTTAGCTAGAGCCATTAGGGAAGAAAAATAAATCAAAGCAATACAAATGGGAAAAGAAGAAGTTTAATTATCCCTGTTTGCAGATGGCATGATCCCATACATAGGAGAACCAACAGATTCCACTAAGAGATTATTGGAATTCATAAGAGTGTTTGACAAACTTATAAGACAATTTTCAGGTTATAAAAATCAGCACCAAAAATCAATATCACTTGTATACACAAATAATACTATGGCTGAGAAAGAACTTGTAAGTTCAGTACCATTCACAGTAAATAAAAAAATTGAATACCTTGAGATAAATCTAACCAAAGACTTGAGATATCTCCACAATGAAGATTACAAAAATTAAAACAGAAGACAACAAAAATGGAAAAATCATGGATTAGAAGAATTAATATCATCAAAATGTCCATACTATCAAAAGCAATGCATAGATCCAATGTAGCCCCAAACAAAATACCAACTGGGGACATTCTTCTCAGATCTAGAAAAAACAACTCTAAAATTCATGTGGAAATACAAGAGACTCCAAATAGCTAAGGAAATCTTAAAAAATAAAAACAAAGTCAGAGGCATCACAATATAAGATTTAAAGGCAGATTACTGTGCAGTTGTAATCAAAAACAAAAATAGACATGTGGACCAATGGAACAGATAGAAACCCCAGAAACTAATTCATGCATCTACAACCAACTAAACTTTGACAAGTAAGCTAAAATCACTCCCCAGAGAAAGGACGGTCTCTTCAACAAATAGTGCTAGAAAAATTTGATCTCCACATGCATTGACCCTAACTTACACCCTGTGCAAAAACTAACTCACAATGGATCAACGATCTAAACCTAAAACCATAAAATTGCTATATGAAAACAAGGGAAACAATGCAAGACTCCTATACAAAGACTTCTTGGATAAGACCTCAGAAGCACAGGCAATAAATGCAACAATAGACAAATAGCTTCAAGCTAAGAAGCTTCTGCACGGCAAAGGAAACACAGAGTGAGGAAGAAACTGACAGAATATTTTCAAACTGTACATCTGATAAAGGATTAATAGCCAGAACATATAAGGTAATTGAGAAAATCAACCATAGCCGAACAAACAATCCAGTTAAGAAACTGACAAAGGACTTGGACAGGCATTTTTCAAAGGATGAAGTACAAATGGAGAATTGACACATGAAAATGCACTCAGAATAGCTAGACATCAGAGAAATGCAAAAAAAAACCACAGTGAGATTTTATCTCACCAAAATAAAAAAAAATAAAAAATTGTGATGAGGATGTGGAGAGAAAGGTCCCCTAATACATTGTTGGTGAAAATGTAAAGTAACACAACCATTAAGGAAGACAATGTGGAGATTCCTCAGAAATCTGAAAGTTGACCTACTATCTGAATCAGTCATCCCATTCTAGGAAATTTACCCAAAGGAATTAAGTCAACATATGACAGAGTTATCTGTACCCCATGTTTATAGCAGTTCAATCCACAATACATAAGATAAAGATTCAACCGAAGCCAGCGCCACAGCTCACTAGGCTAATCCTCCGCCTTGCGGTGCCAGCACACAGGGTTCTAGTCCCTGTCGGGGTGCCGGATTCTGTCCTGGCTGCCCCTCTTCCAGGCCAGCTCTCTGCTGTGGCCAGGGAGTGCAGTGGAGGATGGCCCAAGTGCTTAGGCCCTGCACCCCATGGGAGATCAGGAGAAGCACCTGGCTCCTGCCATCGGATCAGCGTGGTGCGCCGGCCACAGCATGCTGGCCGCGGCGGCCATTGGAGGGTGAACCAACGGCAAAAAAAGGAAGACCTTTCTCTCTGTCTCTCTCTCTCACTGTCCACTCTGCCTGTCAAAAAAATTAAAAAAAAAAAAGAAGATTCAATCGAGATGTCCATCAACTGAATAACTGGATAAAGAAAGGTTTTTATGGCTGAGTTTTATATATGTGTCGATGTATAGATATACACACACACATATATATATGAAACATATATATATGTATATACATGTATGTATATATATACATGTATGTATATATACATGTATAAATGTGTGTGTATATATATGCACACATGTATGTTACTCAGTCATGAATAAATGAAATCCAGTCTTTCACAACAAAATAGATGAAACTGGACACCAACAGTTCATTGTATATGAAATAAAAGTTATTTATTTTTATTTACAGAAATAAATAAAAATTTTAAGTTTCATCTTTGTATGTAATTGAAGCTAAGTTGTTATCAGCTTTAAATAAACTATTATAGCTGTAAGGCATCTCATACAGCCTCATAGCAACCACAAAGAAAATATCTATATGATATGGAAAAGAAAAAGATAAAGGCCTCAAAACATAGTACTAATTTTTTTAGAAAATTCAATAAAACACGAACTAAATGGAAAGAGAGAAAAAGAGGAATGGAGAAACCACAAGCTAGATAGAAAACAGTGAATATGACAATAGTGAGTCCTTCCTTATCAGTTAGTACTTTAAGCTTAAATGGATCAGCCTCCCCAATTAAAAAATAAAAAGTTGCTGAATGGCAAAAGAACACAAGACCCAGCTATAAGTTACCTGTAAGGGACTTATCTTGCATTTAAGAACATCATGGGCTGAAAGTAGAGGAATGGAAAATGATATTCTTTGTAAATGGTTAACAATAGAAAGGAGACATACTTATACTAAGATAAAATAGACTTCAAGTCAAAATAGAAAGATAGATACTCCATTAAATGAAATACTCAGAAAACTGGCTACATAATAATGCCAAAAAATTAATATGCTGGGGAAAAGAACAATAATGAAATATTCCCTGGGCCCTTAGCATTTTAAAACAAGTTATAAGTCCAATATTCATGCACTTAAAATTACTACTAGTTTCTTATTTAGAGAACAAGTACTAATATGGATATGATGGTTAATTCCATTTCTTTCCTCAATATGATGAGCTACTTTATGTTGTATCATTTCTTCTTAAAGATTA